CTGGTTACTTGTAGTACTGGTGTGCAGGGCCATGCCTTCACCTCTGCCTACAAGTGAGCCCCCTCTGGGAATTTTCTTTAAATCTGAGTGTTCACTTTACTATTGAAATGTCCACAAGCACTCTCCCAATGCCTGGCCTGTGTCCAAGAGCCCCAGGTATACCTACATATGACTGAGCATATGAGACCATCAAATCTTCTGCAATAAAGAAAAACCTGAACAGCAGCTCAGCGTCTTTTCCTTATCATTGGAGCTCTTAGAGCTGAATGTTCCAGTGGAGTAGCCACTACTCAGATCAGCCTATTTATAATGAATATACTTCAAACAATAATTAATGTGTTATATTTTTAAAAAGCCCCACAAAAACCACAGAATTACTTGGTCACACTAGTGATATTTCAGGTGTGTCCATAAATGTTGGAATTTCAGTTTCATAAGCTTGAATGTAAGAGCTATATTGAGCATGTGGAAAAGTAAGGTTTGGATTCTCTCAGGATCTCTATGTCATGTGAAATTTTGCAACTGTGATCAACATCTTGTTGAAAGGCTCTGACTCCGCCAAGCACAGGGAAGGTCTGTGAACCTGGAGGGAAGACCAGGGAGATGCTTTGTGAGCCAAGAGGAGGAGGAAAGATGGAAGGGTCAACTTGTATAATAACTGTATTATTGCTCATGGTTGTCTTTCTACAGAAATGTATGCTAGAGAGTCTTAGCAGCAGTGATGTAGAAGAGAATTAGATAGGACACAGGTCTCAGGGAGAGTAGGATTTAGAGGGAGAGGGTTCCTGAACCACTCAGGTTATACCTGCTTCTTTGGAGATAAAACAGGTGAATATGAACTGAGGATTTAAATTGGAGGGAGAGAGTTTCTGGACCACTTTGGAGATAAAAGAAGGTGAATATAAACTGAAGAAGAAGGGAGTATGTGTAAGCTTGTGATTTGTTCCTCGTATTTTAATGAAATAATAAACTGTGTGTGCATGTGCTTTGTTGTACTGCGCCTGTAGTCGTCTCTTGTTGTAGACATCTCTTCTTGCTTTTACGTTTAGAAATGTCCTTTCTCACAAGACTCCTCTTTCTTTGTCCTTTCATTGAGAAACATGAGAGAATGGCTTATGGTTAGTGCCTTCAGAGTCTTACATACAAGGGACTTCGGGCCTGTTTAAATTCTCCTATGATGGCAACATCCTAATGGGACCAAAAGCCTAATAGTTACTTGACACTGCAGGCCAAGCTCTTGCAGTGAGTGTCAGGTTCTGGGTGAGATATGAACTCGCTACCTCTGCGTTTTCAGGACTCGTAGATTGCCCTCACGTTTGTCTTCATTGTTTATTGCTCATGTAAAGGGTGTTCTCGGGGTTGGATAAGTCAACGCACACAGGCTCTGGCATCCCAGACTGGACTGAGTCTCCTGGAGCTCATCTCAGCTTCCAGCCCAAGGATGCTGTGCTGAAGGCGCCTTCACGTGGGAGCGGTCCATGCCCCGTTGCCCCTGGAGACCAGCAAGCCCCCAGACGCTTGACAATGTGAGGGAGCCGCTGGCTTTCCTAACACACTGGCTCTCACAGCCCTGCTGACCTGGCCTCCTGGGCCTGACCAGACCCAGGTCAGAGACTCAGAGCAGTGGGACCCAGGATCACTGTTCCACGTAGAACCCAATGCTCCCATCTAGACAGCCCTGCCCCTGCTCTGCACACCCCAGTCCTGCCCACCCTGTTACCTTTACTCAAACTTTCCCAGGTTTGATTCCTCCCAGTCTTTCCAAGATTGGGGTAAACCCTGGCTGGGGCTGTGTGTATATGAGGCTTCCCTATCTGTAAAACCTTTGTGGCATCACTTAAGACTAAGACACTTTGGACATGTTACTTTAATTATAATATTGTGTTCATGCTCCCTAAGGGGCTAAGAGACTTAAGCAGTTATTTTGAGCACTAAGTTTCTCCCAGTTATCTAAAGTTAGCTCAGGCACAGAATACTTGTTACCTGAAGTTGGTTGTGTATCTAGGCTGTTGTGGAAAGTGATGCAGTGAATTTAGGACTGCAGATATCTCTTTGTGATACTGATTTAATTTCCTTTGTATATATATCCAGAACTGTGTTTGCTGAATCGTATGCTACTCCTTTCATACATTTATAAGGAAACTTTTACTGTTTTCCACAACATAGCCACACAATTTACATTCCCACCAGCAGTGTACAAAGGTTCTAGCTCCCCACATCATGGCCTTAACCTGTTAATTCTTTGCCTTTATAATATACAAACTAACAGGCATGAGGTGTTGATTTACTTTGCCCTGATGATTAGTGAGGTTGAAAACCTTTTCCTTTGTATGCTACTCATTTGTCTGTCTTGTTCCCGAAATGTCTGTTTAAATCTTTGCACATTCCTCAACTCCCTTATTTACTCTTTTTAATATTTTTTTGTTTTGCATTTGAGCTGTGGTATTTTCTTATGAATTTTGAGGATGAGCTCCTTATCTGATACATGGCTTGTAATTTTTCTGTAGGTTATCTTTTCATCGTACTGATTTATTGAAGAGACTACCCTTTTCCTATTCCATTGTCTTAGAACCTTGATGAATTTCATTTGACCATGTATCCGTGACTTTTCTTGGAGCTCTGTATTCTGGTCTTTAGGGCTATGTATCTATTTCTATGTCAGTATCATACAGGTTTGATTCCTATATCTTTGTAATGTGTTTTGAAATCAGGAGGTGAGATATTTTGATCTTTGTTTTCAAGGTTATTTTGTCTATGTGGAGTCCTTAGCAGTTCCATATATATCTTTGGATTTGTTTTTCCCATTTCTATGAAAATGATGTTAATATTTTGATTGGTGTTGCAATGAATTTTTACTTAGCTTTGGGTACTATAAAAATGTCAACAGTACCAAGTCTCCAGTCTATGAGCATGATCTGTCAGTTCAATTCCTCGTGGCTTAGTTCATTCTCTCAGTGGGGTGTGTAGTGTTCAGTGTGCTGGTCATTTCTCTCTGAAGACCCTGTGTCCCTCCCTCCCTGATCTCAGAGTCAGTGGTGGAGGTATGGGCTGGTGAGGAGATGCAGTGTCCCTCCCTCCGTCCTCACCTTTTCTCTGATGATGTTCAGCACAATTGCCCTGGGCCCTGTGTCCACACCTGTCCCCTCAAGTGGAACACCTGCTGGGAAATCCTCTAAGATCTAGGTATTGGCATTGCTGTTTCAGTGTCCCAAAGGCTCCTGAGTACGTGGGTTGTATTCACAAGCGCAGGAAATACCTACAAAAATGAATCATCAAATCAGGCCAGCCAAATACTCTGCAGAAGCTGTTGGGCTACATTTTGCAGGCCTGCAAGTGCTGTACTTTGCCTGGACTTGAGACCAAAAAAAACTCCAGAGTTGACAGAGATATCAAAGGGTTAATAGATGGGACATCTTACATATCTGAAGTAAATGGGTCCTGGAGATGAAAGGTTGTTGCTGAACCACAAAAAGACTCCGAGATTCTTGGCCTCCGGAGGAGAAGAATTCAATCCAGGGCCAGAGACGAGGCTTGATCCCTCAGAGCTTTTGTGTAATAAAGTTTAATTAAAGTATAAAGGAGACAGAGAAAGTTTCTGACATAGGCATCAGAAGGGGGCAGAAAGAGTGCCCCCCTGTTAGTCTTTAGCTGGATGTTATATAGTCACTAGCAGTTTGTTAAGAAAGAAAGGAGGGTGTACGTGCAGAGCGCGCAGAGCGAGTGGCGCCCACACGCCCTGCGCTGCTCCGCCGGCCGAGCCGGCCGCCCGGAACGCTGAGGCGGCGGTGGCCAAGGCGGCGGGTCTCGCGCGCCGGGCCCGCGTGCCCGAGCGGAGGGCGCCGTCCGCCGCGCAGGCCGCGCTCCCTCAGCCCGCGGCGGTGATGAGGCGCTGAGGCGGCGGCCGGCGCTGCGTGGCGCGACCGAAGGACGAGGACGCGGCCGGGCCGAGGGCACGGGGCGCCGGTCTCCTGAGGCGAGGGGCGGCGGGCGCATGGCGCAGTGACGGCCCCTGCCGCTCCACCCGCTCCCCGGCCCGAGGCTAGGCCGTCCGGCCGCCACCCCTCCTGCTCGGCCGCCGCCTCCAGCCCCGCCGCCATGGCCAATGACAGCGGAGGGCCCGGTGGGCCGAGCCTGAGCGAGCGAGACCGGCAGTACTGCGAGCTGTGCGGGAAGATGGAGAACCTGCTGCGCTGTAGCCGCTGCCACAGCTCCTTCTACTGCAGCAAGGAGCATCAGCGCCAGGACTGGAAGAAGCACAAGCTCGTGTGCCAGGTCGGCGAGAAGGTTTCTGCCCCCGGCACGGGCCAACCGTTAAGCCGGGCCGCGTGCCGCCGCCCAGGGCCGCCGAAGCCAGGGAGGCCAGGAAGGCGGCGCCGCGCCGGGACCGAGCCGTCGAGGCCGCGGGTCCGCGGGCCTCCGGAGACGCGGCCAAGGCGAAGGCAAAGGCCAAGCCTACGGCCGACCCCGCGGCAGCCGCGTCCCCGCCCCGCGCGGCCCCCGGCAGCCAGGGTTGGGTAGCGGCGGCCGCCGAGGCGGATTCCGCGAAGGAGGAGCTGCTGGCCCGCCCGTCGCTGTACCAGGAGAGGGCGAACCTGTACCCGCTGAGTAACGCGCTGGGCGAGGGGCTGAGCCACGGCGGCCTGCGGCCCAACGGGCAGACGAAGCCGATGCCGGCACTGAAGCTGGCGCTGGAGTACATCGTGCCCTGCATGAACAAGCACAGCATCTGCGTGGTGGACGACTTCCTGGGCAAGGAGACCGGCCAGCAGATCGGCGACGAGGTGCGCGCCCTGCACGACACGGGCAAGTTCACGGACGGGCAGCTGGTCAGCCAGAAGAGCGACTCGTCCAAGGACATCCGAGGCGATAAGATCACCTGGATCGAGGGCAAGGAGCCTGGCTGCGAAACCATCGGGCTGCTCATGAACAACATGGACGACCTGATCCGCCACTGTAACGGGAAGCTGGGCAACTACAAAATCAATAGCCGGACGAAAGCCATGGTTGCTTGCTCTCCTGGCAATGGAACAGGTTACGTACGTCATGTCGATAATCCAAATGGAGATGGAAGATGTGTGACATGTATATATTATCTTAATAAAGACTGGGATGCCAAGGTAAGTGGAGGTATACTTCGAATTTTTCCAGAAGGCAAAGCCCAGTTTGCTGACATTGAACCCAAATTTGATAGACTGCTGTTTTTCTGGTCTGACCGTCGCAACCCTCATGAAGTACAACCAGCATATGCTACAAGGTACGCAATAACTGGTATTTTGATGCAGATGAGAGAGTGCGAGCTAAAGTAAAATTTCTAACAGGTGAAAAAGGTGTGAGGGTTGAACTCAATAAACCTTCTGATTCGATCAGTAAAGATGTCTTATAGAGCCTTTCATCCAGCAATACCCCACTTCACCTACAATACTTATTGATGCTACTTGTTAACTTGTGAATACAAATAAATGGGATAAAGAAAAATAGACAGCCAGTTGGCAGTTTAAGGAAACAGAAACAACTTTTTTGTGTTGTGTCAAAACAGAGGTTTTGACTGTGTGGCTCTGTACTGCATGATCGACTCCAAACCTGTGATGGGAGGAATGTAAGTTATCAACTGAAAGTGGTGTTTACATCTGGACATGAAATAAGTGCCCTAGGCAGAATTGTTTTCATTCTTATATTTTGCCAGATCTGTCATCTAGCTGAATTCATTTCATCTCTCCCTTTTTTATATAGTCAAGTTTGAATTTGAAATAATTTTTGTATACTCAGGTACAATTTATCAAAACTGAATTGAGAAAACATTACAGTATTATTTCCCAAAATAGTATCAATCTATTTTTGTAAACCTCTTCGTACTATTAAATTTTGCCCTGAAAAGCCTCTTAAAAAAAAAAAAAAAGAAAAGAAAAGAAAGAAAGGAATGTCTTAAAATTCAGAATGGCACCAGGCCCCTCATCCATAAGATGTATTTTGGGATAATCTTGGCACCGGAAGAGTCATCCCAGGCCATAAAATGATTGACTTGAATCCTGTAGACAGGCAGATTACCATACAAATAGTTTCGTTTACATAGATTAGGGGAACAATGTCTGAATATAGCATAATGGTTTGTCAAGTAGGTTCTGAACCATTAGGCAGAATGGACTTCAAGACAGAGTTTGGGGTAAAGGCATAGCACATTAACATAGCTTAAGACAAACATTTCCATAAGAAGAGTGCATTGGTTAACTCAAGGTTTGAGAATAGTTAACTTCAGGTGGAACCAGGTGTCATTATGGCAACACAGTATTTTAAGAGAAATCTCCTTTTAAATTTGTATAGAAAAGGGGGGGAAAAAAAAGCATCATTCCTGCCGCTTAAGAGAGAGATAAAAATGTCTGACACTTGAAGCCTATTTCCTCTGTTTGGAGACCCCTGGCCTTTCTGCCTGTTACCCTCTCAGAGAGATACCCACTGTGGATAGCAGGGGACAGGCAGAAGACAGCAGCTATAGTTTTCTTTACTCTGAGGGGATAAGGAGTCTACCAGTTACAGTGGGAATGAACAGCAGATTGGCCCATTGATTACCATGGAAACCAGAAAAGGGCCACATCTCTCTTAGCCCCTCAGGCTAAATGCTCTCATGCGTCAGAGGTCTTTTCTTTGTTAATTTAACAGCAAACAGTCATCTTGAAATGGCCAGAAAACACAAAGGAAATAACAAGAGAGGGGTGTTAACACCCTGTATATATCCATGCATACTCAGTCACTTAGTTATGACCCCACTGTTTGTGACCCCATGGACTATATCCCACCAGGCTCCTCTGTCCATGCTATTTTCCAGGCAAGAATATTGAACTGGATTGTCATTTCCTCCTCCAAAGTATCTTCCCAACCCAGAGATTGAACCCACGTCTCCTGCATTGGCAGGCAAATTCTTTACCACTAAGCCACCTGGGAAACACCTTCACTTGTACCAAAGTTCCTGTTCTGCCGTCATCTGTCAGAATCGGCAGGACTCGTGGTGATGATCTGAAGATTCATTCAGTCTTTCCTGGTGACTCAGACAATAAAGAATTCACCTGCAATCCAGAAGACCTGGGTTAGAACCCTGAGTCAGGAGGATCCCCTGAAGAAGGAAGTGACTAACCACTCCAGTACTCTTGCCTGGAGAATTCCATGACAGATGGCCCTGGCAGGCTAGTCCCTGGGCTCACAAAGTGCTGAAATCGACTGCATGAGTTATCTGCACACATATATAAACATATATAGTGGCTTTTGTGTATTATAGTTGGTAGGCACTAGCGAGTTGTGACTGCTATAATTTACTTAAAGGCATGTTATACATGTGTCAAAACACTTGTGATTTCAGGTTGGTTAGCATGAAGGTGAGAGCTCTAGTGGACATGTAGAAGTGAGAGGTTGAGAATTGACTTTTTCAGCATCTCTATCTTTAGGTTTGCAACTGATATCAGTGACTTACTGAATGACTGTGACTGCACAGAGCACAGATGACTGCCATCTGCTATCCACAGTGGGGTGTCTCTTCAGGACGTTGGGAAAAAGGTCAAGGTGATGCCGTGAGATCCAGCAGGCCTCAACTGGAGGATATGTGCGTGGGTTGCTCATTCTAACCACCTTTTTGCTCATGGAGTGTACTGTGGAGGGCATTTGGTGCAGTGATGAGAAAGGGGAGACAGGTAGCTAACAAGATTCCATTGGGATCTGATGGGAGAGGGTTCTGGAAGTTAAACCCTCTGTTAACCCCAGAGTTAAACTCTCTGTTTGGTGGCTAAGAAAAGTGAACCTGAAATTAAGAAGAAGGAAATGTGTATAGAATTCTGACTTATTCTTTACATATGAAATGATATGATAGAGAAATTGTGTCCTGGACTTGCATTGTGCTCTATTTCTAATCAGCTTTTGTTGCTTTACTCTTCAAAAATCATTTTTCCTATAAGAGCTGCTCGTTTCTGCTTTTTTACTAATATGGAAACCTGGTCTCTGGTCAGCACATCTCGGGTATTGTGCACTGCAGGCTGTTTTCTGTTGCATGTTGAACTATGAGGACCATATCCTAGTGGGCACAAAACTCTCATTGTCAGTTGACACTGGAGACCACGTCCTTGCAGTGCCTGTGAGGTGGTGGGTGCGATGTGAACTCTCTCCTCCTGCACTTTCAGGACTTGTGACTTCCCCTCATGTTTGTCCTCACTGTTAATTCCTCGTGTAAAGGGCGCTGCCGGGGGTGGATGAGTCACAGCACACAGGCTCTGGGGTCCCTGCCCGGGCCCGGTCTCCTGGGGCTCTTCACAGCCTCTGCAGCAGCCAAGGCTGATGTGCTGAAGGTGCTTCCGGGTGAGAGGTCCATGGCCTGCTGCTCCTGGAGACCCTCCACATCTGCAGATTCTAGAGTCTGTGAAGGGCCCACGGGGCTTCCTCACACACTTGCTTTCACAGCCCTGCTGACCTGGTCTCCTAGGATTGGGCATTCCCAGGGCAGCAGGTCCTGGGGTCACTGCTACTCTCAGAACCCACTGCTGCATCCAGACAGTCTTGCCCCTTCTCCCCAACCCAGGCCTGCCCCATCCTCTCTCCTTTCCTTACACCTTCCCAAGTCTCATCCCTCCCAATTTTCCAAGTCTCAGTGCAAACCCGGCAGCTACCACATGTTTATGGAGGACCCTTGTCACATTATTCTGGCTAAATGAAATTGGAACTGTTTGCCTCTATCCTTTCTAAGGGTCTGTGAAACTTGAGGTGTTGCTGTGAGCATTAAGCATCTCCCAGGTAACTCAGGTCACCCCAGGCAACGGGAGAGTCTCTGTTATGTGGAATTTTTGTCCTTCCCTCCCCCAGGGCTGAACACACTCTCAAGTCCATGCCAGCTCCTCCCTTGGAGAAATGTATTGGTTAATTGAGTAATGGACTGATTGGAGACAGTGGCCATACACCGATGTTCCTCCTTCTAATGTGTCCACATTGCAAACTCTAGGGTTGCTAGAGGTTGAAGGAGGAAGTAAAGTGACAGTGACTAGAGGAGAGAAATAAGGAAGCAATTAGAGAAGAAGCAGCAGGAGAAGGAGGCAAGGAAGGCTGTGGGCAGAGATGCATGGAGACAGTGACCACCTGGAGGAGGAACAGATTGGCACAGCCTCATTCTTGGTCACACATAGGCAAGTTGAGGGTGGCAACAGGATGTTGGAGGTCAAAGGTCCACTTTTTCACTGAAGAGGTGAAACACCAAGGCCCTGGGAGTTCCCTGGAGACAAGGGCACCACAGTCCCCTGGTCACATCCTGACTCTAAATCTCCCCTTTGCTTTCCCACAGCCATTCCACAGGAGTTCTGCCTGGCAACACCAGAAAACTGAATGGAAGATAATGAAGAATTGGAGCAGAAGAGCAAGAATATGGAAGTCATTTACTGTCAGGGGACGTTCAACTTTACAGAATCCAGTAAGTTGCATTTTTTTTCCTTTGTGTGCCATTTCTCAAGGATTCTCTGTTCCTTATCAGTTCCTATTAGGGGAACGAGTGGAGCTGCACACAGTTCTCATCACTGAGATCACGGGAAGGGGTACCTGCTTGGATTCCTTCCAGTAACTCCCTTCAGTGCCTCTTTTCAACGTCAGCGGACTTAAATGTATTAGATTATCCATTTTGTTGTAACTGATGGAATTTCATTCTTTGTAATGGCTAAGTAAACATTTTACTAAAGATATATAAGCCTGTATTTCTGCTAATAAAATACCCTTGCTCCACTCAAGACCTGGGTCCCCTGTGGCCTTCTTTCTGTCTTCATTCTCGGCAGAGCGTGGAAACCTACCGAGCTCACTTTCTTGCCCGGGCTTTCAAGACCTCCTTGAGAGGATGCCCTGTGCTTTCATGAGTGGTACAAGTCCTGTGAACGTTGGTATTCCATGTAACCCGCGAGATACTGCTCTCTCTCTCTCTCTCTCTTTTCATCGATTCCAGCCCACCAGGTTCTGGTCTGTATTAATGAGTGACCATTTATTTCTTCTTTCATATCTTTTACTTTTTTTTCTCTTTTTCTGATCCATAGATTCTTCCTTGTAACCCTTTCCCATCTACTCTTTCCATCTTTTAATGATTACCATTCAGGAGGACCAGTTCTCTTATAGGCAGTTGGGTTCCTGGGACCTTATATAAAATCTATGAAATCTGTCCGCAGCTCTCTTCCTCCACTTTCTTAGCATTGTCCTCGCTCCTGACCTCATGTCTGCACCCTTGAACCTGGCTTTGTCACCATGAGTGGCCTGAGCAGGAGTTGAGGCTGGAATCAGTAAGTCTGGACCCACACATCT